AACTTCTAAACGGTTAATCCGATTTTACTGAAATTGGTATGCACAAAGAAGAGGTGTTGTCGAGTTTAGGTTTTGAATTAGGACCTTATAGGCCAACTAGGGGCCCGGCGGGGGGTCGTCAAATTAGGACACCTCGGCTATGTTAAATTTTTAAAACGATCCTATTTCTTCATTTGAGTTGCGATTCTATATTCGTATATAGAATCTCCTCATCGAGCACTATAAAAAATGTCGTCGTAAATTATCTTTATAGTTTAGGAGATATTCGCATTTGAAAATTAAAATTTTAAAATTTTACCGTCCTTACTTTAGTTTTTTGATAATAGCGAGTCCAAATATTCCCGATTTTCGATTTATTCGCTTAACAACAAGTTTATATATCAAGCAGTGAAAGAATTATGTAAAAATCATGACTGAGTCCAAAGTTATAGGCATTTTAATTTAAAAAATTAAAAAAGGCGATTTTTTGCAATTTTTTTGGGAAAAAAGTATCTTTTTCTTTTTAAGTTATCTAAAAAGTTTCTAAGAAGATGTATATAGAATTTATACTTTTTGGAAAGCTGACTTTACATAAAATACGATAAATGAAACAAAACTTAAAAATTTTTGATACCGAGGGGACCAGGTCCATCCAAAAACCCTATTTTTTATGGAAAATTCAATTTTGAGCAAAAATTCTCAAATCGCATAGTCGATATCAAATTATAGTGACCTGTTTTATATGACCCAATATGTTCTTAATCATTTTGTAACGGGTTTCGATAACCCCGCCCCTGGTATGGATATAATAGGCAAAAAACCAAAAAATTCGAAATTTTTATTTAATTTTGGATTTTGAGTAAAAAAATCTACCTAACTGTAAAATTTCATCAAAAAATATTCATAAATAAAATTTTTATTGCAATTTGAAAAATTTGTATCTTCGCAAAAATTGAATAAAAAACATTTTTTAAATTATATACAGTTTTGAAAAATAGACAAAATTACCTTTCTATTGATATATAACATGCCTACCTAATGTTTTTTAAGTGACAAATTAATTAGGGAAAACTCAACATCTTTTAGAAAATTTACCTAGCACTATTATTTTCATCCATAAGGTTAACTCTTAAATTTGTTACATATATTAAAAAATGTTCAGGTATTATTTTTTAAACTGTAATGATTTTTACCCCTATAGGTCACTTTAATAGGTAGCTTATTAAAGTGACCTATTGAGGAAAAATTCATTACATATTAGGTAGAATATCATAACCCTTTAAAAAATAATTTAATTTAAGTACCTGTAATTAATATATAAGACAGGTTTATATCTGTTTGTAATTATTTGTAATTTTCTAACCATGGCGATCGTACTAAAAAAATGATTTGTGCTCCATTTTATTTGAACACTCTTCAGCTCCTTTTCAAGATAAAGTCAACTTCTTATTGAAATATTTTGAAACTGCACAGAAAAATAAAGTGGATAAAACTGATATATGTAAAATTGAAAATTTTATAAAATCAGTTGATATAAAACTGAAGAGTGTTCGGTATTCCATTGCTAAATTTCGATCGAAATTTTCTGATTGGCTGGATGAATGTGTAGAAGTTGCTATTTGCGTATCAACTGTTGGTGCTCCCTGTAAGCAGTATGAGGATTTGAGCTCAAAATCAAAGAGGAAAAGGTTATCAACTTCACTAGAAACCTTATCTAACGAAGAAGTTTCGGACACTTTTAAAGCAATGTTAAGAAAAGAAAAACAGCCTTTGGATGCCATAAAAATTGCAAATATTCTTCCAACCGCATCACCAAGACGACTGAAAAGAATTGTAAAGAGTATACCCACACCATCATCTGATACAACGTTCACTGAGGAAGAAGCTATTGCGCTTATGTTGCAGCTGGGATTAAGTCGTGATAACTACATAACGTTAAGAAAGGCGCTATCTGAAAAAGGAGTGGATGTTTTACCATCATATGACAAAATAAATGAAAAGAAGAAAAGCATTATACCATCTCCTATTGAAATAACTGATCGGAAGGCTGTTATTGGACTCGGCGCTCTACTCGAAAATACTGCTTTAAGGATTGCTTCTGACTTTTCTTCAGACCAACAAAAAAAATAAATTCTTGTGATCTTCAACTCATTTGTAAGTGGGGATGTGATGGATTATCAGCACTCTCGGAATATAAACAAATCAACACAAGTGAATCATCTTCCGAGTATAAAAGTGTATTTATGGCATCGCTAGTTCCATTAAGAATTCGAAAGTATGCTGACAGCGATTCTCCATCAACCAGTTTCGATGATATTTGGAAGAATTCGACTCCAGGATCCAAAGCTTTTTGTAGGCCAATAAGCTTTGAGTATATAAAGGAATCCAAAACAACAACGCAAGATTTGATAAATCGTATTGAAGCAGAAATTAAAAACTTGGAACCTATAACAATCGAAATAGACAATTATTCGTTTAACATGTCCTATGATTTAAAACTTACAATGATTGATGTGAAAGTTGGAAATGCCATTACAGGAACATCATCTACTTGGTACTGCTACATATGTGGTGATAAAAAATCAGAATTTTCGAATATTTCCAAGCAAAGGTCAATAAATGAGGAAACATTACAATTTTGAATATCCCCCCTACATGCTCGCATACGATTTCTGGAACATTTTCTACATTTAGCATATGATTTAAAGTACAGAAGCATACCGGAAAATGCAAACAAAAGTGCAAATAACAATAAGGAGTTAATGGAAATGAGAGCCAGTGAGAAAAGAAGAATTCAAGAGGAATTTAAAAAGCGGATGGGATTAAATATTGATAAACCACTCACAGGATATGGAAGCACAAACGATGGTAATACCGCTAGACGTTTTTTCAAACATTTTGAAACTACTTCCGAAATAACCGGAATTAATATGGATTTACTGCAAAAGGTCAATATTATTCTAATGGCGATAAATAGCAAGCATAAAGTGAACGCAACAAAATTCGGAGAGTATTCTACAAAAGTTTCTAAATTACTTTTGGAATTATATCCCTGGAAAGAAATGACACCTACAGTTCACAAGATATTATGTCATGGAAAGGTCATCATAGAACACAATATTCTGCCTTTAGGAGAGCTTACAGAAGAACCCCAAGAATCGAGGAATAGAGACTTTAAGCATATTCATCAGTTTAGCTCAAGGAAGTGTTCTAGGCAGTCTCAAAATGAAGATATTTTTAATAATCTGATTCTATCTTCTGATCCTGTTTTATCTACTATAAGGAAACGTTGGATTTCCTACAAAACGTATTCATGAATTTAAAGATTTACTTTATCTTTTAGATATGGACTACTGTGATACCGATTATTTTACAAAATTATATTAATTTATAAAAAAAAATAAAGACTATTTTTATATAAAATAAATACTTGTTAATTTTTTTAGGGATAAAGAATAAAAGATTTATCGTAAAAAGTGGCTGTAAAAATTAATAAAAATTTAAATTTAATTTTAAATTTAAAACATGCCTAACAAATGTATGGATGAAAATAATAGTACTAGGTAAATTCTCTAAAAGATGTTGAGTTTTCCCTAATTAATTTGTCACTTAAAAAACATTAGGTAGGCATGTTATATATCAATGGAAAGGTAATTTTGTCTATTTTTCAAAACTGTATATAATTTTTGAAAATTAAAAAATTTGCGGAATACTTTTTTTAAAAAAAAATTAAAAAATTTTTTCAGTTTCAGTTTTTGCAAAGATACAAATTTTTCAAATTGTAATAAAAATTTTATTTATAAATATTTTTTGATAAATTTTTAGAGTTTGGTAGATTTTTTTTACTCAAAATCCAAAATTAAATAAAAATTTCGAATTTTCTTATTAGAAATCCCGGAATTCCCAAAAAAGTTTTAAAAATCCCAAAAATGGGATTTTTTGGTTTTTTGCCTATTATATCCATACCAGGGGCGGGGTTATCGAAACCCGTTACAAAATGATTAAGAACATATTGGGTCATATAAAACAGGTCACTATAATTTGATATCGACTATGCGATTTGAGAATTTTTGCTCAAAATTTAATTTTCCATAAAAAATAGGGTTTTTGGATGGACCTGGTCCCCTCGGTATCAAAAATTTTTAGGTTTTGTTTCATTTATCGTATTTTATGTAAAGTCAGCTTTCCAAAAAGTATAAATTCTATATACATCTTCTTAGAAACTTTTTAGATAACTTAAAAAGAAAAAGATACTTTTTTCCCAAAAAAATGGAAAAAAAATCGCCTTTTTTAATTTTTTAAATTAAAATGCCTATAACTATATAAACTTGCTGTTAAGCAAATAAAAAAAAATGGCGAAAATCGGGAATATTTGGACCCGCTATTATCAAAAAACTAAAGTAAGGACGGTAAAAATAAAATGAGGAGATTCTATATACGAATTTTTTTTTAAATCGGAACTCAAATGAAGAAATAGGATCGTTTTAAAAATTTAACATAGTCGAGGTGTCCTAATTTGAGGACCCCCGCCGGGCCCCTGGTTGGCCTATAAGGTCCAAATTCAAAACCTAAACTCGACAACACCTCCTTGTGCATACCAAATTTCATTAAAATTGGATTAACCGTTTAGAAGGTACCGAATTATTTCCCTCTTTTTTTTTTCCTATACCACTGTGCGTAGTCAGGACCAACAAACTCAAGGAAACAGAAATAGCTCTAACAATTACAAGAGGAACAATAACAACTACAATCAATGACACGCTTATGTAAATTTCATAGGTTTTTCATCAAAATTTGAAGTACTTCGAATATGTTGTTTGTAGTGTGTGTGTATTTATAAGGACATGTTTGGTTTATAAAAGCGAAAAATATGCAATCCCATTTTTAGATCTGATTAAGATGTCGTTTGTAAAGTACGACATCAATTATTTTTTGATGGGTATATACTATGTATATTAAAAAATTTTTATAAATTCGAATTTACTGCATACATTACAAAAATGTTAGAAAAGTTTTCTTACCCCAAATGGACAAAAATGTTTAACCAGTTAAATATCAAATTTGGTATCTGGGAAGCAAATCCCATGTACTGCATAAAGTTGTTGGCGTAAACAGAGGTCACATTTCCATCATTTGAAACCAGTTTGAAGTCAACGAAGTACTAGAAAAATACATACAAATTAAAATACATTATTTTTTATTGATAGTTTATTTAAGTAGTATTCAGAGTAAAAATTTAAGATAATTTATTTTCAATTAACTACTAGCTATACCCAGTGTGCTTCGCTACCCCAAAAACAAAACAAAGAAAACTCCTTTAAGATTTTTCTTATTTACTTTTTATGGGGAAAAACCCGTACTATTTTTCTAGTCGGCACACGGTAGGTAAGAAATTAATTTCATCGAACAATTTTTTGTTAACACTTTTTTCTAAAATTTTAATGCCATAGTAAACATATTAAAACTAAGATAGCCAACAAATATGGTCTAAGTATTGATATTTATTATTAAAGATAAGCATTTTAACACTAGTTAAGTTTAAAGACCACAAAATCCAAGAAAGAGTCTCGAAATATATTAACAAAACTAGATTTTTACAGTTTTTACAACATTCTTAATGTTGCCACTTGCTTGAGACATTCTTCTCTTTTCTGAAAATATAATTGCCAAGACACATCTTAATTATTTTCTTTGTTTTTGTTGAGGGTTTATTAAGCAAAAAAGATATTTACGTTCCGTCTCTAAATTTGTTATTTCCGTGAAAAAAATACGTAATTATCTGTAATAAAGTAAGCCTCATGATATATTTAGACTAAATTTATGTTTAAAATTTTTAACGAGGGTCGCGATATGATTATATATATTATATTATTTGTTTGTATATTTTAGCCAATTTCAAAAATTAGGTTATCGAATTATCGGTATCCACTATGGCATGAAATATAAAACGGAGAAATCGAACTCATGCCTCTATTGCTCAAACTGGGTTTCTATCGATGTAGTAACTGTTGAAACTTGGCAACCCTTTTGCTACCCTGCAACATGTATTCTTCTTTTTACATGTGCATTCTTTATGCGTTAGTAACTTTTGTATTTTGCTCAACTTTGTTTGTATATTTTAACCAATTTAAAAAATTAGTTTATCGAATTATCGGTATTCATTATGACATGAAATATAAAACGGAGAAATCGAACTCATTCCTCTATTGCTCAAACTGGCTTTCTATCGATGTAGTAACTGTTGAAACTTGGCAACCCTTTTGCTACCCTGCAACAAGTATTCTTCTTTTTACATGTGCATTCTTTATGCGTTAGTAACTTTTGTATTTTGCTCAACTTTGTTTGTATATTTTAACCAATTTAAAAAATTGAGTTATCGAATTATCGGTATTCATTATGACATGAAATATAAAACGGAGAAATCGAACTCATTCCTCTATTGCTCAAACTGGCTTTCTATCGATGTAGTAACTGTTGAAACTTGGCAACCCTTTTGCTACCTTGCAACATGTATTCTTCTTTTTACATGTGCATTCTTTATGCGTTAGTAACTTTTGTATTTTGCTCAACTTTGTTTGTATATTTTAACCAATTTAAAAAATTAGGTTATCGAATTATCGGTATTCATTATGACATGAAATATAAAACGGAGAAATCGAACTCATTCCTCTATTGCTCAAACTGGCTTTCTATCGATGTAGTAACTGTTGAAACTTGGCAACCCTTTTGCTACCTTGCAACATGTATTCTTCTTTTTACATGTGCAATCTTTATGTGTTAGTAACTTTTGTATTTTGTTCAACTTTGTATGTATATTAGTCTTAAATAAAAACTCTTTGAATAAACTTCAGCAAATTTTTAACCGTAGTAGATTACTCTTTTCATTTGTCTATAACTGAAACATTAAACGATATTTTGAGTTGAAAATAACTCAAGATTTGAAAGACATTTTAAGCTTTTAAATAGGGTTAAAAAAGTTTCCATACGATTAGAAACCTCTGTAAAGCACTTAAGCTATGTATACACGGTTGTTAGATCTTACAACGTTGTATGTATGTATGTATGTATGTATGTATGTATGTATGTATGTATGTATGTATGTATGTATGTATGTATGTATGTATGTATGTATGTATGTATGTATGTATGTATGTATGTATGTATGTATGTATGTATGTATGTATGTATGTATGTACGTATGTATGTATGTATGTATGTATGTATGTATGAATGTATGTAGAAATATATCGACACATCAAATAATATATGTTATATCATTTCCATGTTTGACACAGATGCATTTAGTGAGATTTTTATTACTATTATAAAATTCAGAAGATGATAAAAAATAGAAAATAGTTAAAAACAAGTAGGAAAGTATAGTCGGGCATGGCCGATCATATAATACCCTACACCATGAGTATATTTTAAAAATTTTTATTTTTCACAAGAAACTTTTATGTTGAATTTTACCTTAATTCCAAAGTATTTAAGCAATTTATTGATAAAAAACAAATTTTCTAAATGAAGCTTTATATAGGAGTATAGGTAAAACATGGGCCGATCCTCATTAAATTTGGGAACAGGATGTATTTTTAAATAAGAGTTAATTATGTTGAGTTTCATTGCGATACAAATGGTTACAAGTCAATTTTAGACGTTTAAGACATTTTTTGAAGGGGGGTTTGTATGGGGGCTAGGGTCAAATAAGGGCCGATCATTACGAAAATCTGCAGTGTCATTTATACTTATATAAAACTTATTTGTGCCAATTTTTAGAGAGATAATAGCATATTTGACGTAATTAGGGCATTAAAAGCCCAAATCGGGAGGTACGGTTGTATGGGGGCTATGTGAAATAATGGACCGATTTCAACCATTTTCCTTGTGCCAAAAAACATGCTTGGTCCAAATTTCATCAAATTATCTTGAAAATTGCGGCCTGTACCTTGCGCATAAGGTTTACATGGACAGCCAGCCAGCCGGACGGACGGACGGACGGACATGTCTTAATCGACTCAAAATGTGTTTCTGAGTCGATCGGTATACTTAAAGGTGGGTGTAGGACCAATATTTTTGTGTGTTACAAACATCAGCACAAACGTATAATACCCTCCCCACTATAGTGGTGTAGGGTATAAATAGGCAAAGAACAAAATATTCACAAAGCTGACAAACGTAATCTGGGTAATAATGTTAGAAAAGTATTTTATGAGTTTTAAACGAAACGCATTATTGGAATGAGAAAAAATACGCAACGAGTAAGGTAGAACATTCCACAAAGGCGCAATACGAATACATATTTGCGGATTTCTTGTGGATTTAGAAAACACAAATGATCTCTGTAAAGAAATGGGCGAATTGAACTTAAAAAGTCTATAAAAAAGCAGTAAATTTCTAAACTTCACGAAATTATCAAAACTCAAACCAAGAAAAAGCTTTATAAATAGAGAAATATGCTCATACCGCTTAATGTTATATACAAAACGAACTACCAATTTAGCTACACTGCACAGTGGGGCAGAATCGAAATTTTTTGGAAATAAATCTGGCTTTTCTAAACGGCTGATCCGATCGGGATAAAATTTGGCGTGAGCGTAGCCAAGGAGTATTCGAGTTTAAGTTTTGAAGATGAACCCCGCAGATGCCCCAGGGACGTCGCTGTGGCGGCTCAAAGTAGGGTACCTACGACATGTAAAATTTTTAAACTCATGCCATTTTTTTGTTTTTCACCCAAATACAAAGATTTTTATATTTTCTGAAAGATCTTGAAAAACATGCTTGGACATACTACTTATCTCTTATAATATCCGAGTTATAGGCATTTAAAAATTTAGTGATACAAAATTTACCATACCTTGGTCCGCCTTTTTTGAATACCGGGCGTAATTTTGGACCAAATGGACTCAATAGAGAAATTAGACAACAAAATTTCCAATAATATACAAAAAATTTCAGATCAATATCATTTACAGATCCAAAAATATACGTTTTTTAATTTAATAATTCAAAAAATTTTAGATTTTTGCCGTTTTTTTGCCAAAAATGTGTCTTAATAAAATTTTCTTTAAAAACATATAACAATTTTATAGTTTTCCAAAAGGTATCTTTACACAGAACGCTTTGGCGTAAAAAACTCCTATTTTTTGAAAATGTTGCCACTGCGTCCTTCCTTCAACTTTGGGCGACATGTTTTAAAATCCCAAAGCTGGGATCAGAAAACTGAAAGCAGTTTTGGAAACCTCAATATGTTTTCTATTTACTCCAAAAGTATTTTCCCAGCCCTGAAAGAAATGTGGACAAAAAAGTAAAAAATCCCATTTTTGGGATTTTCATTCCTATTTTTGGGAATTGCGGGATGCCCTTTGACCTTTTCATTTTTTTTTTCATTTTCTTATTTGAAATGGCAAATTTAACAAGCGTTGAAAATTTCATTGAGTTTTGTTCATAAATAAAGATTTTGTCATATATTACATATTTGTTTAATTTCTAAAACTATGATTTATATCAAAATTTTAATAGGGCCGCAGATAGCTACAACAATTTAGTCCATATTTATCCCATAATATCTTTTTTTAGTTAGATAGGGAAATTCTCGATTCTTTACAAAAATTTTCAAGACAATATTCAAAAATATGTTCATTTAAACATTTTAAGTACCATATTTAATAAATCTACAATGAAGATTACATTAAAGTACGAAGAGTTGTGTTCCGTTTTATGGAGTGTATCTTCAAAAGGGCCAGAAAGAATTGAAGACATTTCAAATTATATAAAAACTACATATAGTAGAAAAGTAGACAAAACAGGCATATCAAAAATTGAAAACTTTTTGATGTAAAAAGTAAGTCTGTTTATGGAAATCAAAAGAAATTTCGATTAAAATTTTGTAGTTGGATGGAAACTACTACGGAAATCTCAACTTATAACACATCAACAGGAGCGCCTTGCAAGTCATACGAAGACTTATGTTCAAGGTCGAGGGTCACACAAAAACTTTTTCAATCTCAAATGAGGAAATTGCTGATACATTTAACGAAATGCTGAAAAAGGAAAACCAACCTATGGATGCCGTACATATTGCAACTATTCTTCTTAATGCATCACCAAAACGACTTAAGCGAATTGTGGAAAGTATACCAACTCCAACATCACAATCAA